GCAAATTACCTTGAGAGTTATTGGGGAGCCCCTCTATCCCCGATCGGATGTGATGTTTTTTTAGCTCAAGCTCAACCCAAAATATTGAGAAGAAAATATGAATTCTTTTTGTGACAATTTTTGCCAAAAGTTTTGAGTGCTTGCGAAATTACATCAATGAATCGAATTGGTGGAAATCGTGGCAAAAAAATTGATGCTAAAAAATGCTATTTTTTAAAGCGTTTTGGTGTGTTGATTTATTTTCCACGACGAAACTTTGCAACCACCGAAAACATTTGTCAATTGTTGCCACAAAATAAATTCAGATTTTTTCTTTCAAATTTTTAGATTTTACTGTTCATCACGAGCTCATTTGAATTCGTGGGCAGAAGAGGACTTTCATGATGGTTCAGAGTGCATGGTTTACGTAAGCATTTAGGATTTTTTTTTGAAACTATGATGATTTTTATAGCAAATTCGGAAACTATACACCCTAATGGAGAAAAATCAAAAGTATCACCCCGTCGGCCTCTTGTTGGCCGAAAAGGGACTTTTCGGCCTCCTGTTGGCCGAAGAGTGACTTTTCGGCCAATAGTTGGCAAAAAAGGACTTTTCGGCCAACAGTTGGCCAAAGAGTCCCTCTTCGGCCAACACCAGCTCTACTTTTTAGAAAATTCATATCAAATAGGATTTTTAGTATTTTAGTTTGATTCTTTTTGCATTAGATTAGAATTTTACGAAGTTTCTGTAGATATCAAGTTTGACTAGATTTGTAAGTTTGAATTTGAATTTTCATGATTTTTCTCAAATCACTAGATTGCCTATAATTTGAGCTAGGAGTATTCTTTTTAGATGATTCTTTTTGCTACTGGTTCTTTGTGACTTTGTTTATCAGTAGTAATTAATTGGTGAATTTTAGGATTATTTAAAATTAGGTTTTTACGTCATTCCCTCCCTCCATTTTCTCCCGCCATTTTATTTCTCGCCATTCTCTCCCTCCATTTTCTTTCCCGCCATTCTCTCCAGCCATCTTCTTTCCCGCCATCTTCTTTCTCGCCATCTTCACTTCTCAACTTATAAAACGAGCCTCATGGTGTCCACGATCGTAGATAACATCGTCTGACACGGTCTGTGTCTCCTGCGTCGGTGCTGCTGGTGGAGTGTGAAACACTGTCTGAGAGAAGTCATAAGTGTTTGCAGCTTCGTCATCATCATCGGAGAGTGTTTCACACTTATGACTTCTCTCACACAGTGTTTCACACTCCACATGAAGGCATCATCGTCATCCTCCGTCGATGCAGCACTCCTTAGTGTGGCGGGAGAGAATGGCGGGAAATAAAATGGCGGCAAAGAAAATGAAGGGAAAAAGATTGCGGGAAAGTATTTTTTTTTTCATGTATAAAACAGCAATGGTTGTACAGGATTTACAAGGCACTTTTAAATATAAACTCCTATGAAGCTCAAAACAAGTTTTTTAGTAGGATAAAAGAAATAAAATACAATAAAATACTACAAATAAAATAGCTACTGATAACTAAACAGAAACAAAAAGAATAAGTCAAAAAACTAAAGAAAAAATTTAAAGCAATTAAAATTAAAAGAAATAGCATAAAACCTAACAAACACTAAAACAGAACTGTTTTCATAAAAACCTAATTTTAAATAATTATAAAATTCGCCAATTAATTACTACTGATAAACAAATTCACAAAGAACCAGTAGCAAAAAGAATCATCTTAAAAAATATTCCTAATTCAAATTATAGGCAATCTAGTTATTTGAGCAAATTCATGAAAAAATTAAATTCAAACTTTCAAATCTATTCAAACATGATATCTACAGAAACTTCATAAAATTTCTAATCTAATGCAAAAAGAATCAAATTAAAATACTAAAAATCCTATTTGATATGAATTTTTTTAAACAGTAGAGCAGGTGTTGGCCGAAAAGTACTTTTTGGCCCTTTTTGGCCAATGGTTGGCCGAAAAGTCCTTTTTCGGCCAACAGGAGGCCGACGGGGTGATACTTTTGATTTTTCTCCATTAGGGTGTATAGTTTCCGAATTTGCTATAAAAATCATCATAGTTTCAAAAAAAAATCAGCATTTAGGGCCTCACTTTTGCTAGGTGCGATTGTAGATGCTCTTATCATGTACAGTGCACAACTCAAAAAAGAAGAAGAGGCATTTGCATCATAGCTAGCACGCCATGAACTTGATGAAGCTCTTTTTTTTTTGGAGAAACTTGATGAAGCTCAGTTGTAGTAACACCATGAATTCATAAGATCAAGAGGGACATTCTATCTGCGGCAGCAGTAATATCCTCTATTTTTTTAGCTTATTATATGCGGCTATGCCCTTTTCTTACTGTTTGCTTCTCTTTTCCATCCAAGCCCCTAGCATTGATTACTGGTCCTGCTTAACCTTTTTATCTTCCAAAATGATAAGTTCCACACGTAGGGTGCGTGGCACTCCGGCCCTGATGTTTTTCAATGGCCCTTCTGTGTCACACGTCTGTTCCATGTTATCATTATGGCCACTCATCCTTTTTTTATCTTTCTTTGTGGGGGTTCATGACCACCTATCTATGCGATGAGACATCGATCACATTGTCAGGGTTAGGAAGCAATGATAGTCTCAGCCTCAAGTGACACATGCTCAAACGGCGAGGGAAGAAAAAATGCGGTCGTGATGGAAAAGCATCACCATTTCAATACCCTGACCACTGTATATATACATATGCAGCACAGAAGGGTTATGCTTGGCTTGGAAGCATCAACCTCCTCAACCATCATCAAAACCCCAAATCTCTTCCCTTGTTTTCCTGGATGTACATATATAGTTACATTACATATACAGCTCACTTTTGTACAAGTCGGTTGGCACACGCAAACGCAACCAAGAACCACTCAAAATCCAAGACAAGGAAAACAAAAACCCAAAAACCAGCCTGAAAAGGGAAAGGAAACTGATTTTTATGTACCCGAAAAACCAAGCCAAAACTGTGGTATGTATGTGTATATATCACGCGCTATGTATGTACATCACCAGAACCGTTCAGGCTTCGAACGGGGAGCCACTCTTCTCCTGGATCAGCGGCGGCAGATCCATGTCTGCTATGTCCACGTGCACCATCAGCCTGGCGATGTCGTCCACGGAGAACGGTATGCTGCATCAAGAGATGAACGGCGATTTTTCGGAACGAATGAGGAAAGCAGATTCTAGCATCCCAAACAGGGCCAGTGAAGTGAACAGAAAAGAAGGGGGAGGCTGGTGCTTTGCTTGGAACCTGAAATCATCGTCCAGGAGGAAAGAGTTGATGTCGTCTTGCACCGATGGGCTGCTCGATCCTCCGATCATCTTGGCTCGCATGCTCGCAACGATCTGCGGTATCAACGGATCATTATTATCCACTCCGGGAAATGGTAAGAGATGCAACCTGCATATTCGTGCGAAGATCGTGTGTGTTGGGAGTGGCCTACATCTGATGGGATGCCCAAGGTTCCGAACTTGTCGTCGCAGTACATCGTGCTGATCCGGTACAGTTGCTGCATGCTGAGTGCCTATTCGCAGGACAGAGACGTAGTATCCAAGAAAGTTAATGACATGAGAAGGATGATTATGATTGTTAAGAAAACAGTAAGGATCACTAAGGTCCAGACTTACCGGGCAGAAATCATCGGTGATCTCTTTGAGAGACTTGTTGTGCTTCTCTTCGAGTATTAAGAGCGTGACCGCCTGCCGAATATGCTTCAGTTCATCCCAGGATGAACCTGCATACTGTTTTACAGATGAAGGTTGATTACCAACTGCTTCCTGTGAGATCTCTAGTGAAACAATGGGGGAGAAATGTTGTCACCTCTTCCGTTAGCCAATGGCACCAATGCTCCAGCTCATCCAAGCCTGCTTTGACATACTCCCCATTACTGAAAGAGCAGCACTCACGCCGAAGCAGGAGACTGTAATTGATCCAAAAATATATCATTTCAGTTCATCTGTCCATGGCACTAGTTTTGCCCATACATGAATGAATGAAGAGTAGCAGTACATATGCTGCATGTACCTGTTAAATAGTTGCACATTGATGAATGAAAATACTTGGGTGAACAACTTGCAGATCAGGAATGGAGGCACCTGCAAATGCGTTTCCGCAGAAGAATGCGAAATGAGACGTGTTTCGAATAGCAACGGTAGCCAGTGATATAGCTCTGGTGCGTACGTAATTTGATTTTAAAACGTTGAGGGAATTCGTCAGGATCTTGATAATGCTCTGCCAATGTGCCATGGAGGCTTGTTGGGCCATGTCTGTTCCTTGAGGGCCTGTTCCTCTGGGGCTGACGATGAATGTTCTCGGTGCCTAGAGAAGGTATTTAATTTCATCACTCAGTCTTTGATCTTCCATCAAATGCTAATGAGAATTAGCAGACGTGCAGTGCATACCTGAATACACAGCCCAAGCAGAGACGACAGCTCCTTCTTGAGGTCGTGCCTGATCACTCCATAGACCTTCTCCAACAATGCCGTGAGCTGTTGCTTGAAAGCAAGAGCTGGATACTTGGCTTCAACCTGGGAAATGTCAGTCAGCGCACCGACCAACCGCCCATCGGAAACTGAACGCTCAGGATGACCAGGAGCTTGGTTTTCCTGGAATTTTTCAACCCGATACTGAGTACATAATTCCAAGTTCATTGATAACATAAGCTAATGATGAAGCTGAGAAGTTCTGCAACATGATTACCTTTGGTGAGTTGAGGGACGATGGTCTTCGCCTCTGACGCGCCAAAGCAGCTGAACCACTGGTTTTCAGTGTCCTTTGGAGAAGCAGCAGCAGTGTGCACGAATTGGATAGCCAATATGCTAATTTTTCGTTGCTGTCTCGCGCCTTGCAGGAGAAGACAAAACATCATGTCTCCATATTTCTTATGTCCATAAGAAGTGCCAGTTATGTGTACCATTGTAAATGTCACATACCTCAATTGCAGCACTTATCTTCTGAATAATGCGGTCAAAAACAGTGGTTCTGTCCTCTTCAAATGATCTCCAGTGGACCAAACAGCGGTAGATGAGGTACGCAGCGATAGGCCTTCCGGTTGAGAATCCCAGATCTTCAGATATGCACTTGATCAGCAGCTCCTAGATTTTCAGGAGCATTAGAAACGTCGCAAAGGCGCATCACATGAATTGTGATGGTGTTCCAAGCTTATCCAAGAGTTCGGAACCTGAATCCTACCTGCTGCTGTTTCTCAGCTTCAGCATCATTTGAGCCAGGCAGTTCAGCATTGTCATCCTAGTTAAGAGATCCCACAGGGTCAAATTAGCATCGCGTCCCACTAAAAATATTGATCAACCTAACTGTAGGACCATACATACGTCATGAATATCGCCGTTCCTGTCCACTATCACAGGCTTAACGGCACCATTTGTTGTTTTCTCATTCAATGGAGTTGCCTGTCAACATGCAACAACATGTTTTAGTAATATTGATGATCATGATTATAGATGGAATGCTTTTTGATCATGCGTACCTGAAGATCATGTGCTCTGTGGTTTTCGCTAGATGGTGACTTGACAGAAGGGATGGATGCAACAGCCTGTCTAAGCATTCTGTTTTCCGCTTCGAGGTCGGAAGCTTTCTCCTCCATCCTGCTCAACGACCGTGCAAAATATCCGAATTCATGATCGTTAAACTCGCAAGAAAGCCAGCATGCATTGTGCAGCACGGTAAATATGCAAACAAAAATTGCAACCTTTTGACGGAATCTTGCAGCGTTTTGTTCTTAATCTCCTGAACTCCAAGCAACCTAGCCAGTTTTTCATTTCTCAGTTCAGCCTTTGCCAGGGCCTTCTTGGCGTCAATGGTGGCCTGCATTTCTGCTCCCAGCAACCCCTGCAGCACACATAAAAAATTAAAAGAGCAAGAGCACGTTAGTCTCTGCATTTATCTGAACTAGCCACAGATCAGAGATTCATATGACTGAACCATAGCACATTGTACAATCTCTGGATGGAGCATTGGCATGAGAGATCACCTTGAGTCGGTCAACTTCGGCGTTCCACGAGTTAACCTTGTCAGCATCCTCCACCCATACCACAGTCTCCTTGATCACCGGAGGCGCCTCCGCTATCGCCTTGACCGCCGCCTCTCGCTCGGCGATGACCCTCACCTCCGCGTCCTCGACGGCCTGCTGCAGCACATCCACCATCTCATGCAGCCTGCAGATCTCATCCAGCCTCTCCCTCTCGACGTTGGCCTGCACATTTCAGCAAATTCAGATGACCAACCAACCACTCAAGCGACAGGAGTGGAAGATGAAGAGGGGTCAGGGTATGACCAGTCTGAGCTTGCCGAGCTGCCTCCTCGCAATGCTCTGCCTCCAAGCGCACTGGCAGATCACCGAGGCCCTCTTCATGGCCAGGTAGCTCCACAGCGCCCTGCGCGCGCGCCATTGCGCCTTTTACAAAATGTTCATTGTCAGAGAACTGCGACACACACCAGTACAACAACTGCAGTTGACTGCATCATGTTAGTCACCTGGATGTACACGGCTGCTCTGGTCCGCCGCCGGAGGAGGAGGTCGCGGCGAGCCGCCATGGCCCGGAACGCGGCCTGCACGGTGACGGCGGCGGCGGCGCGCCGCTGCAGCCGCGACTTGTGCCATGACAGGTAGGAGCGGCGCAGGTTCTTCTGGACCAGGAAGGCCAAGAGGAGCAGCAGCGCCGGGCGCCCCGCCACCTGCCACCTTGCCAACCAGCTATGCCTCTGAACAAAAGCCTCTGCGAAACACAGACCAAGGATCGAAACGGGTCACGAGCGAGCTCGATCGACGGCGGACACCGATCAAGAACGGCCGGAGATCGATGATGACTCACTGAAGAGAAACTGCAGCCAGGCGATGAGACGCCGCGCCGGGCTGTCCTGCGCGCGCGCTGGACCGGTGACCGCGGCCAGCTCCCTCCTCCGATCTCCATCCATGATCGATCTCGATGAGGTTCCTTCTTCTTCTTCTTCTTCTTCTCAAGAAGTTGCGGGCAGATCATGGACACATGGGTGTGAGATCTGGGTGGTCAACAGACAGAGTTACACGATCGACGAGCAGGTGGGTGAGCATGAAAAGATGATCGGTGATGCCTGCCTGCTGGCTTACCAGCGTGTGAGATGAGATGAGATGCGGGCCTCGATCTCATGAGCAGAGATCGCACCGTCTTGCAGCAGCCGGCAGCTTCATCCTGCCAGCCTCTCCCAGCTTAGGATGGCTACTTTCCCTTCCCTTCGCTTGCCCTGACCCTGACTTCCTCTTCTTTACTATGGAACAATGACGTGCCACCTCAAAACATTTCTTTATTAAGGGAGAAAGGGGCAGAGAAGATCTCTGGTTCCAGACTGTCCAAGGAGCGTCAGGGACGCGAGGAGCTGCTGGGTCTGGACAAATTCAGAATTCGTACCGAAAATCTAGTCAAGTTCTTCGATTTAGATTCGTCAGATTCAGAGCAGCCATGGGGGATCAGGGGATGGGTACCTCTCTCGGAAGAAGGCGACGGGCTCAGCGGCTATGGGCGGACGTCAGGGCGGTCCGGCGGTGGCTCCGGGCGGCCAAGCGGGGCCGGCGAGGCGATGCCGCGACGGCTGGGCTGGCGGCGGATCGAAATGGGAGCAGTCGCAGGTCGGCCAGGGGGCTCGGCCAGCTCGGGAGAGGCACTAGTGGGTTGACCCCTGTGCGTCGGGGACAAGCTAGCAGAGGAGCAGCGCAGGAATGTTGCTGGCAAGTGGCAACCACCCCAGAACATTATTTACAAGGAAGAGAAAGGGAGAAAAGGGGTGAAGAAAATGTCATGGACATCCACATTGCCATGGGAGAGCTTCAGACTTGAGTGGTGCGCGTCGACAGCGAAATCCACATTCTGATTATTTTATTTAGCATACGTACATGGAAGCAGAGACTTCTTGCCTCAAAGAACCATACGTAGGGTAGGAATTTGGCAAAGTTTCGGCATCCGGTGTGCCGCTCACTGGCCTCGCAAAAATGCTAGACGTACGGGAAGCTTTTACAAGAGTTAACGGACTCCCCTCACTAATCTCTCTCCCCTCCCCCCCCCTCTGATTTTCAGGGTGGGGCCCGCTTCATCTTAACAACCAATCAACACACCCCACCTCAGCATAGCCTGTAAAGGTCCTGTAAAACCCCTGTAGATGTAGCATTGCTGCTGGCCTCGATCTGGTGTGCTGCCACCGCCGCGCTGCGCTACGGGGAGGCTACGACGAAAATCGTGGAGCCCGGGAGGCAGGAGTGGAGGTGGTGGGGATTAAAGACCGGGCGCGGCGTTTTGGCTATCGGTTGCATATGTACTCGAGGTGAATAGTAAATTTGTATAAATAATAAAAAGAATTAAGAATTCTGATTATTTTTTTGTGATACTAGATGCTTATGTACGTGAAGTGCGTGCCAAATTACATGGAGTTTGTACATTTCAGTAGCTCTCAGTAAGAAAGACAAATTTTGAGGTTGTAAGAAAGGTTACCGTTCACGTATTGTTATGACCGATTTTGTCTTTTTTGCCATGAGCTCCCAGATGTCCGAACGAGCTGAAAATTTGGCACTAACATCACGCATTAGAACATCTTCCACCTAAAAAAGTTTAAGATTTTTTTAGTTTCTTTTTGAACTTACTGTTCACCGGGTGCAGATGAGCATGGACACTGAATTGATCTCATCTTATTTTTTTCAAACGGAGTATCAATCGCTATTTAAGACGATGAGTATGCAATTGAAGCGGGTGGCCAGGGAGATTTTTACCCAACATGAGTGGCAGCAAAATCTCCGGATCGAGGCACCATCTTCTTCAAACATAGGCATGGTGTCGGTCCTATATGACTCTATCGTTGCCTATATGTCTTTTTTGTCAGGATTTTGGCGTTTGGCTGTGTGCATCTTAGTTATGTAGAGACCAGGCGTTACTTATCATGTTTTAAATAAGTTTAATGCTACATTTTGAGTTTATAAAAGTGTCTTTTTAGTAAAAAATATATGAAGGAATTGATTTGGACCATAGTCTAAATGAGAATATAGACTATCCGATATAGATGCTCTTAGAGCATCTACAGTCAGACTCCTCAAATTGCCCCGGCGGACACAAGACCACTGATCGGACAAAAGAGAGAATGGAAAAAGTTGACCCAGCCAGACCCCTTAAAGCCTCCTTGAATGTCCGGGCTGTCTGACATTTCTCATATTGTCCTCATGTATGAGATGAGTTATGAGGAATGCCCTGGCGTGTCCGGTCAGTGATTCTGCATCCACCACATTACACTTGGCCCACCACATAGCATCTTTTTTCTTTTCTTATTATTTCTAAAAAATAAATAAACTGATGTGGATTTACCGTGCTTGTCAACTAAACTTAGTACTATTTTTTCATGAAAATCGTTCAAATTTTCCACTGTCAAAAAGACTGCGTCAAATTTGTAATGGAGTCCTAAAATACATGCGAGACTATAACAGTCTATGTATAGACAATCTGCTAAAAAAAACTACTTGTGTATGTGAGGAAATCTTTTTAAACCATTGTGTATATGGAAATTTAGACAACGAGTGAACGAGGTGTACACATTCTGTTGAAGAATGCTGTAATAATAAATACTACATTGGATCGAATAATGCATCTCAACTAGACCGATTTATTAAGGCACGTTAGGTAGGTAGAAGTGACCCTCACATCTCATCATGCAGCTGGAATGAATGCTTCGGGCATTTTATTATTATTTTATACAGAGAAAGCACATTTTATTTTCTTCTTCGTACTACAAAAGAAAATGTTTAGTCTGTCTGTCACAGAATTCGAGCTGTGGGCAGCTAAAACCAACGTAGTTGGTACATTCTGTAAAGTGGAAAGAGGAACCGGGTAGTAGGGTCACAGCCAGGCAGGCGATGGAGATGCAGCAGCACGGCTGGCTTCCATGAAAAAGAAGAAGAAGAAGATGCAGTATACGTGTAGAACAGGGAGCAACTAGAATAAAACCTGAGCTTCAGATGCAAAAATAGAAAAATGAAAATCTGGACCGTCAGATGGAAAATGAATGACACATATTTCGAGGACTAGTTCTGTACCCACTGTTACATGATTCTGTGCAAAGAAGTCCTCTGTTTTTGATTAATTTGCTTCATGTACATGGAGCATGTGCTAGTGCCTCCTTCGAGCATCCTTTCTTCTTTCTCCTACCGACGGGCGACGGTCTTGATCCGACGAAGCAAGGAGACTACACCCACTGGTGGTGCTCCCTGCCTCCTCACCCTTCTACGATCTAGCAACAGCTTGACCATATCACATGGTAGACTGCGACGTGCGCAGCTTCCCCGCCTTCTATGAGGTGCTTGACTTCGAACGCGTGGGTGGCCCCAACTACTCCGGCTCCAAAGTCACCTGGCATTGCCTCCCGGCAGCCCAGCATCGCGCTCCACATCATCATCTTGGACTTGGCTGCGGTCGACACGGTCTCCATAGCAAGGCAGTAGGATCCCCACTCACGCAACGGCCCATGAGGCACAAACCCGACCTTCTCCATGTAGGACTACAACGACTTCATGATCGGACCGTGCCCGACCATTCTCCACACACCTAGTTCCACCATCATTGATGCCGGGGAAGAAAACTCCAGTCTTCAGGTATGCTTGTCTATGAGGTTTCTCCCAACTTTCAAGTTAATTCTCTAGCATAATATGATCTTTTGTCCAGCTTCTACTTCAACATTCCATATCATAAAATGTTAACATTCCGTAAAGTGAAAAGAGGAACCGAGCAGTAGTTGGTGTGGAGGGATTATTTGTCGCTTGGCTCCCCACACCCCCTCCAAATTGGTCGTGGTTGCTCTACTCGCTATAAGCAAGCACAAGGGAAGCAATCATATTCTAAAAGCAACTATAGTAGAGTCATCAGATTAAGGGCCTGTTTGGTTCCAAATAAGTCACCAACTTATAAGTCGAAAAGCGAAAAAATGACTTATTTTGCCAAACAAACCCAACTTATAAGTCACCCCAACTTATAAGTCATAAATTGCTCCATCTCAACTTAAAACCTATAAGTCACCTCCTTTTGCGTGGGTCCCACCACCTTTACATAAAAAACAAGGTGGGAGGCTGGCTTCCATGAAAAAGAAGAAGAAGAAAATGCAATATACGCGTAGAATAGGGAGCAACTAGAATAAAACCTGAGCTTCAGATGCAAAAATAGAAAAATGGAAATATGGACCGTCAGATGGAAAATGAATGACACATATTTCGAGGACTAGTTCTGTACCCACTGTTACATGATTCTGTGCAAAGAAGTCCTTTGTTTTTGATTAATTTGCTTCATGTACGTGGAGCATGTGCTAGTGCCTCCTTCGAGCATCCTTTCTTCTTTCTCCTACCGACGGGTGGCGGTCTTGATCCGACGAAGCAAGGCGACTACACCCACTGGTGGTGCTCCCTGTCTCCTCACCCTTCTACGATCTAGCAACAACTTGACCACATCACATGGTAGACTGCGACGTGCGCGGATTCCCCACCTTCTATGAGGTGCTTGACTTCGAACGCGTGGGTGCCCCCAACTACTCCCGGCAGCCCAGCGTCGCGCTCCACATCATCATCTCGGACTTGGCTGCGGCCGACACGGTCTCCATAGCAAGGCAGCAGGAATCCTGATACGTCTTCATCGTATCTACTTTTCCAAATGCTTTTGTCCTTGTTTTGGACTCTAACTTGCATGATTTGAATGGAACTAACCCGGATTGATGCTGTTTTCAGCAGAATTATCATGGTGTTATTTTTGTGCAGAAATAAAAGTTCTCAGAATGACCTGAAAATCAATAAAGAATATTTTTGGAATATATAAAAAATACTGGCGAAAAAACAAGGCCGGGGGGCCCACACCCTGTCCACGAGGGTGGGGGCGCGTCTAGGCGCGCCCCTGCCTCATGGGCCCCCTGACGCTCCACCGACCTCAACTCCAATTCCATATATTCACGTTCCGAGAGAAAAAAAATCAGGAAGAAGGATTCATCGTGTTTTACTATACAGAGCCGCCACCAAGCCCTAATCTCTCTCGGGAGGGCTGATCTGGAGTCCGTTCGGGGCTCCGGAAAGGAGAATCCGTCGCCATCGTCATCATCAACCTTCCTCCATCACCAATTTCATGATGCTCACCTCCGTGCA